AAGTATGGAGATTAGCCATACAAATAAATTAAGAATACAAATTAGAGAAAGTATAAAGGAATTTTTAAATTATATCCATTGTTTTAACATGACATAATCCAGGGTCAGTGTCTAGTGAAGGGGACTAGATAATTTCTTAATATGGCACAGTTAAGGCAGAAGTTAGGAGCTTGGTAGAGATTTATTGAATTAATAAGACAAATTAGCTCAGCTACTTGAAAGCTATGATTTAAATCAGCCAGTTTTCAACAGCTAGTCTTACTTGTTTTTTTACTGATGAGGCAAAAAAGAAAATGTCTATAATATTATATTTTCATATTTTGTGATAGAGAAATCTGGGTTCTCACCTAGACATTGACTTTGAACATTTGATTAGATTCAAAGATTTTTTTTTTTAGATTCAAAGATTTTTATTTAAAATAATATTTATTTATTTATTTATATTTCCAATATTTTTTTACTGCATTCATACAAGGGCTTTTTCCTTTGTGGAGGTAGGAAAGCCCTATATAAGAAAAAATATAATCCAAGTTTCTTATTTTTCTAAATCTCAGGTGTTGGCATGTCAAAGGCATATAGCAAATGTGTGACAAATTTATAAATGGTCTGAGGAATATGAAATTAATTAAACATCCTGAGATTAATAAGCCATACTTCCTCTCTCTCTAGTTCCCACTAACTATATTCAATTTTCTTTTTTTTTAATATTCAATTTTCAATAATTAAATGCAGTGTTGTTGTTGTTGTTTAAATTCAGCATAGCAAATTGAGATTAACATTTAAGTCCTTAAAGTTTTCTAATGAAGATTTTCAGCCATCTTTAAGATTTAGGGTGACAATGTCATATCACATAAGCAATCAACTGCTTTCCTTCTGGCACCACACTGATCTGAAAAACAATCCTGCGTTTTCCAATGGTTCAGATTCAGGCTGTGTGCAGTGAGATTATTTTAATCTAGTTGTGTCAGGTTAACTTTTTCTATTGGTGTTACCCAGCAATGGGCTAGATTTGTTGAAACATGTGTTTTCTAACTCTGTGACTTTCCTTTTTATTGTGAATCTTTCTGACAATATACAGGTAATTTATCACACTTAAACTTCTATGATCTCTCTCGTCATCACAATGATGTTATGGAGTCTCATTTGGCAAAAATGGAAATGGATAGCCTCTTCCCCTGCAGAAATGCAATAACCAAACAAACATTTTTTTTTTCAAACATGCATTTTAACTGGCTTTCCTTGACATAGAGGAACACTAATGATCACAATTCCAGAAAAAGAGTCTGAGGTCAAAAGAATAATGATGTTTACAATGAAAAAGAATAAAGTGAATAAGGAATTGTCAAAAAAAAAAACTTCCTCATAATAGTTGTTTGTTCATTTCCTTAAACTCAAATTAAATAGTTTCTATTTGTCAGTTACTGAGAATACAAAAATGAGCAAGACACAGTTCCTGCCATCAGAGGTTCCCAGAATAGCGGGTGAATTATACAAGTAAAGAAAGTACAAGGAAGGTGACTTACGAGGTCAACCTTGAAGAAGTAGGATTTATCCACAAGGAGATGAACATTGGGTGTTTGGGGTGGGGGTGGGGGGCAGGTAGGTAGACTAGCATAGAGATACTATAGTGTATGGAATATTCTGGAGGCAGAAATTACGTGTGATTAAAGTGCTGGTGATAACCAGTGAAGTAGTGGAGATGGTGTTAGACAAATAGGTTGAGGCTTTGTGATAGGCCTTTAAGACATATTAAGGAATTTATTTTGAAGGAAATGGTGAATTACTAGGGATTTTTAAGTAAGGGGGCAATCCATTCATGTCTATGATTTTGAGAAGATAGGCGTGTTGGTCCTAGGGTGGGAGATGTGTTGGGGGGTAGACTCTAAAAGCAGAACACCTGGGAGACCATTGTAATACCCAAGTGAGATGATGAAGAACTGAAATACAGCAGTTGCAAGGAGAATGGAAAGAAAGGAATTTATTTAAGATAATTTTTTAAATGTATAGATACTTGAATAAAGGCCCAGAGAAAGCAAGAGGAGTCAAGGTCAACAGCTGACAGTGATGGTGGTAGGGTGGATTAGAGAGACTGAAGAGATAACTAAGGAAAGGGGCCAGCTAGGGACAAATAAAAGGACTGTTAAATATTGTTGACAGCTCAAATAAGGCTGGGAAACGTGAATCCTCCATGCATTTGAAAATTTCTCCAAAAGTCCACAACGAAAACTACAAGTCAGAAAAACTACCCCAAATCATCAATGATGTTAGCAGACTGCCTAATATCTTCTCTAGCATGAGTATAAAAAAATGACTATAAAAGCAGTAGAGTGAATTTCTTGGGACCAGTAATGAGACAATTTGGACTAACACTCTTATTAACTAAAGTTATTGAAAATATAAAAACAGCAAAGAGCTAATAAGATGGCGAGGTTTTCATACTCAGAAATTTGGACGACCAGAACTCCGGAGAGGAAGATGATCTTTGAAAGCTTTTGCCCTTGGGCATATAAGTACTGGGAACAAAAATCTGTGAAACCAGCTGCATTTCGGGTAGCCTTACTGGTTTTGTGGGAATGACAAAGCCCATGATCCGCACGTGAGGGTATTAATTACCTAACACAACTTTAACTTGGGACCTCAAAAGGCTGTATCTTCCTTCAGGGTAGGAGTGAACCCCAAATAAATGATTCCTCACACAGATTTGCAGCCTTGCTTCTTACACAGGGGTGATTCAGGAAGCCTTAGGTGTTGGACTTTGACAAAGATAAATTCTGGGCTGATATTGCCCCCAGGTGCCTGGTAGAAGCAAACCAAAGTCCTCTCTGGAGGAAAATGTCATCACCACTAGGTCTCAATTTATTCTTACAAGTGATTTTTAAAATGCATTTTCCAACGGATAGTCAAAGATATCTAAGCAACCAAGAAAATATGACACCATGAGTAAGACCTGGCAGGAAAAATAATAATAGAAACAAATCCAGTAACACTTGAGATTCTAGGATGAGCAGACATATATTATAAAACTACATGTACTACATTCAATGAAATAAAGCCCAACCTTGACAAATTTCAGCAAGAGACTAGAAACTATAAGTGACATGAGAATAGCAGAGTAATATTCATCCTATCAACACTATTTTGCCTCATGGTTTAAAATTCTCACATTTTAGAATTTAAAGTTTTGTGTTCTTTTTTGGCTTTCTTTTGACACACTGAAAAAAACAAAACCCCATACTGAAAAGTCTGATATAATTTTATTCATGTATTTATATGATATAATTTATTTATATATACTTATATATAAACTTATAAAATTTATTTATATATTTATATAAATTATAATTTATTTTATTTATTTATATATTTATATGTATGATTCAATCAGAAATATATTAGTTGAGTAAAAGATAAGTCCACCATGAAGTGTTTTTGTGCATACATGTGTATATGGTGGGCACACACCAGCTCCCACTCACAAATTTCTTGGAAACACCTATGATTTCTGCCAGGCTCACTCCTACTATCAACAGGTCAGGATTCAGCTGGGTGAAGCAAGGGGAAGAGGAGTCAATGTCACCAGGGAAAATTTACAAAGGTACCATCCGCTTGTGAAGAAATGAAATGAAAATTCACTGCAACTTTCTGGAAAGTGGGTCTTGACTGCAAGAAAAAAGAAGGATACTGAGCAATGACATTCATCAGAGGCCCGGAAGGTGGAGGAGGACTGGAAGGGGGGAGAAAGTGGGCAGAGAAAGGAGGGTAGGAGTGTCAAAACTGAGCCCTGTCAACTTCACATTTTGTTTTGGTCTTGCTAGATTATTCGGTAGTTGTAAAATCAAATGATTCTACCAATATGATGCTCAGTTTTCATTTTAGAAGAGTAACACACGATATTATTTATTCTTAGCAAAATTGAAAGATCCGTGTTAAGTCATTCATTGTTTGTACTTAGTTTAGCCGACTTAGTTCATTAGAATCTGGTCTGACAGAGCAAAATCCAGCCAGTTACGTTTAACGACTGTTCAGCCCCACACTGTGATAAGAACGTCAGCAGATTCATTTTCCCCATATAAAGTAGAATTTCCAATTCACACCATGTCCTCTGTGACTATTATGGACAGTATTTATTCAGAAGGAATGCTGTGCAAGTTTGGGAAAGCTGTCTCTAAGAGCAGAGCTGAGAGGTCATTCGACAAAATAAGGAACAAAACCTATACATGGTCAAAACATGAAGAGAACTGAAGTTTGTCATTCTTTCTTTTAAAGAAAGAAGTTTGAAATCCTTAAAACACAGCGTGGTAATAGCAAATTAGACAACTCTCCCTCCTCCACTCTGAAGCTCCATATAATCAGAACGCCTCCATTCACTTAGCAAATATCAGCTTTTTTGGAGGAAGAGAACCTGCTTGGAATTAATGAGGCGACACCAAAAAATAACTTCTATTAATAAATTGTTCTCTTCAATGGAAAACTGCTTATTTCTCTTTCTCTCTCTTTTTTTTCTAAAGGTTCCTTATACACTTCATCTCACCTTTGGGTAACCTTTTTTTTCCCTTCTTTTATTTATTTTCCTTTTTCATTTTTTAAATTAGGAAGTGTCATAGTGCCATGCAAGGAAATCTCTCCATCTCACAATAAAACATTGCATCCAATGACATCATAAACACAGTAGCATTCACTGGGTGTCGACACAGAACTATGGACATTGTAACTCAATAACTGCAGGGTGTTTAAGGAGTTAATGGAGGGAAATGTCAAGTAAGGGTAATAAAGCAAAACTGAAGTGAAAGACATGCAAGATAAATTTCAAAACAAAGCTGAAATACTCTTTCTTTCTGCTGCATAACTTGTAACACGCCAACTATCTCAAGAAAGGTAAGAAAGTCACAGTCTTGGAAAAATCTTCATGATCACTTTTTCATTTACACAGATACAAAGAAAAATCCAACATTAACCTTCTCAGAGAAGCGATGAGCCTTAAAACCAATCTTTTCACTTACCCTAGAGTATGTACACCATGAGCTCCTAAATCCTTTTAATTCCAGGACATCGAGACCATACATGAATTCTTAGCACAGACACTTGAAAAACGAACTTTGACTAAATTGTTAATTACTACAGAGATCATAACAGAACTCTCTGAAATTCTAGGGAGTGATAGAGGAGTTTAAAATCCAGCTTCTAGATCCTGTATACTGTGTCTATCTTTAACTTGAAAATGATTTGGTTTCACATTCCGTTGAAGTCCCACTGGCAGATGCCTTTGGTAAGCTCACCAATGGCAGGCTTTCAAACGCCCTCCCTCCACCCCCCTCCTTCCTCTGACTGAGCTTCCGCTGCTGCTACATCCAATGCCCATTTACTCAGCTGTCTTTTTACCTGTCTCTGCGTGGGTAAAAGGAGATGCTTTCATTGATGGCTATTACGGAAACACTTGGAAGCCTAAGATCAGCCTGAGGACTCACTGTGCTTTCCCTCCTGCCATCCCCTCCCCCTTCTTACTGCCAGAAACCAACTGACTTCCAAACTTGGCTGTCTGAAAAAGAATGTTCTCTGAGTGGCATTCCTGGAAGCAGAAAGCAAAGCAGCTCAAGTTTTGTTCTGTTGCTCTGCATGAAAAACTTCCCCAGGTACACATAGTACAAGCGAGTAAGTTTCCTAGATTTTTTTTTCATAACTTTGAGGAGAATGGAGTGAATATTTGGGGGGCATTACATATATCTTTGATGTCGCCATAGCATTTCAGTTTTAATATCTACATATCATTTTACCCAAAATGGCTCTGCGTGCAGTAAAAAGTGAAATGGCAAATCATGTGTTAAAAGTTGAATTTCCTTATTAGTAAATGAGTTGGGACCCATTCGGGGAAGAAACAGTCACGCTGCCTGCTTGACAGTATTCTGGAGCGCAGCTGTTCAATCTGTGGCTTTTCTGTGAAAGAAAACCTTGTTCAGAAGAATTGTGGAAAAACTGATTTCAATTATCCTATATTTTATATTGCAGACAGCAAGAGAAGAGGGTGCAAAAAAACATTTCTATCTCCCTGTCAAGTCTTCTTTTCCAGGATTGTCTTGCAAACTGGTGAGAACTACATGCACACACACACATGAACAAAGCCTGAGTGAATGGAAATGAGAAAAAGATACGTTTCCTCAAATAGGGTTGGACAAGGATTAATAGTGTACAGTCCCTTCAAATTACTACTAATAAACTTGTGTTTAATATTTACTTTCTAGTTACAGGGGCCAAAAGATTTGCTGTTGCTGCTGCAGATGACCTACCTCTCTGTGTTTAAAATAGTGCATTTATTGTATGCCATTTTATGGACCAGACAACTTCTTAAAGGACCTGATAAAGGTTTTATAATTTCAGCAATCAGACAAGCTACAACCCCACACATTTTGGCTTTCCAAATTTCATCTGGCTGTGGCTGCCAACTCTGGGCAACTGTCAGCTGGCGGGGCTCAGGGTTGCGGTGTGGTTGCAGCTGCTCCTTGCAACTTGTACAGACATCTCAGAAATATTCAACGGCAAAAGGTTGACTCTAACTAAGAAGGCTTTCACTTTGTTTGTTCGTGGTTGTTTTTACATTTTCTGTTCTAGGTGATCTTGTACCTCATCTGAACAAGACCATGTTTGGGAACCATGAGTGAACATTTGATCAACTGGCATCAGTGTTACTTAATTTACTTCAGGGATATTTTGATGCCCAATACAGACTGGCTTCCTACCAGCTTGCTCACTCCCTAAATTGTTACTAGATGTTCTTTAAAAAAATAAAAATAAAAGAAGTTGGTAGAGGAGGAAGAAACTTTCCTTAGTCTTATTCCCGAAGCTGATTGTCTTAAGGACATTTCAAGCAATGTGCAATGCTAAGTAGGCATATCCAGATGACTTCAGAAATAAATAGAAAAGAATAATCACTCACCCAGAGAGCACATGTCCCTGTCCCCATGTGTCTTCTCTGTATCAAAACACTCCTCCCCAAGGCTAATGGATGGTGTCAAAACACATGTGGACTAAGATAAGAGTCGGGATTGGTGGTAGGCCATCTGGTTCACATTCAGCCACACTATTCGCCTATGTTTTATCTCTGAGTGAACACTAGCATGTAACTGTGCTCAAGAAATGTTTTTTGAAACTGAACAACTGTTTATGTAAAAGTATATATTTCAACTTATGGAAAATGGTTATGTGTTGGCTCACTGCATATCTATCTTAAAGGTTTTGGGGGAAAATTATCTCTTTTCAAGCCACTAACCAAAAGATTATATGGAAGTTATATTAGGTACTGAGTACCTTTACTGAAGGAAAAGAAAATCATAAATTTTGTGTCTCTGTGAGCGATTAGCTCTAAACACCAACATGGAAAATATTGCTAAGATCATTCCTGCTGAGCTTGTTAGCTTCTAAGAAAAATAGAGAAAAAAGGAAATGTTGGGTCCTTCTAATATTTCATACTAGCTAGTGAATTGTAAAAAATTTCCTTATTGAATTGTTACTAGACATTTCTTATAAATATGACATTTATCAATCAGATATCTTCTTGGGTTAACAACCTTATCTTCCTTTATATTTAAGCTGTGCCAATCATGGAAATTCTAGAACAGTCTGCATCAGTCCAACCTCAAGGCTGAGTGAGCACAATGGGAATTTTTTGCTTTTCTTTTCTGCCTAACCTTCACAAGGTAATTGATAAGATTTATAATTGATAGAATTCAGTCTTATCATGAGTAAATGTTATTTTTCTCTTTCATAAGCACTAACATGAGAGTTAGGATTTGATCAGAAAAATAGCTTGCAGGGCTTGCTTCCAAAGAAAACTGGGCATGTAACAGGCAAATCAAATACCCTTGATTTATCATGAACAAGCAGTTAATCTGTGCTTCATTCTCCAGAAATAGACTGTATTAGCACAGTTCTGTGGATGGCAAATGCTGATAGCAGGATCCTTATTGAGGTGAGTGAGTAAGGTGTTCAAACATAGATCTTAGTTGATCTGATACACATCATGTGTATGAAGAATCTGGTCATTGAATAACAAGTGATTCCTGATATTTTTTTCCTTATTAGCATAAGAGACTAGAATAGGCAAATTCTCAGGATAATGGATTTGCCAATGATTTTTTTTGTTCTTTTGCATACTTTTTTTTTTTTTAGAAAATAGACACTACTTGCTATATATTGACTATTTGTGTCCCCCCAAAATCCATATATTGAAACATAATCTACAATATGATGGCATTAGAAGTGGGGCTTTTGGAAGTTGATTAGGTCCTGAGGGTGGTGCCCTCATTAATGGAATTAGTGCCCTTCAAGAGAGACCTCCAGAGAGCTCCTTTGTCCCTTATGCCATGTGAGAACACAGCAAAAAGACAGCCCTCTGCGAACCAGGAAGTAGGCCTTCACCAGACATTGAATCCGTTAGTGTCTTGATATTGGACTTCCAGCTTTCAGACTGTGAGAGATCAATTCCTATTGTATATAAGCCACCCAGTCAATGGTATATTGTAATAGCAGTCTGAATGGACCAAGACAACTGTACAAACATGCACGGGGGGGTGGTGGTGGTGGTGGTGGTGGTGGTGGTGGCGAATAGTTTTTTTTTTCCCCCTAAGGAAAATTAATGAACCCAAGTTGCAAGTTGCAGTTTTTTTTTTAGACTTTATTTATTTATTCATGAGAGACATAGAGAGAGGCAGAGACATAGGAAGAGAGAAAAGCAGGTTCCATGCAGGGGGCCTAATGTGGGACTCGATCCTGGGACTCCAGGATCATGCTCTGGGCTGAAGGCAGGTGCTTAACTGCTGAGCCACCCAGGTGTCCCTCTTTTTGAAAGTAATTAAAACAGATATGGTCCAAGAAAAATTAGAAAACCATACTTTAAAAAAAAGCATTAAAAAACAGAGGCTCTAACAAAAAATATGGAAGGGATTCAAAACAGCAGCATGCTGTGTATATTATTATTAAATGTCAATCAGTTAAAAAATTGGATGAAATGGGCACTCATTTTGCATGCATATGGTGTGAAAATAGCCCTAATTATGGAAAGGGACATATGTCATAAATATACTAATGATAACATCATATTTGGTAGAGTAGCTGGGAACAACGATACTTCTGATGACAACAAAAAAGTCAAGACCTAATGCTTAGGTTAAAAATCATGGCATATAGGGAACCCTGGGTGGCTCAGCAGTTTAGCACCTGCCTTCGGCCCAGGGCATGATCCTGGAGTCCTAGGATCGAGTCCCACACTGGGCTCCCTGCATGGAGCCTGCTTCTCCCTCTGCCTGTCTCTGCCTCTCTCTCTTTCTCTCTGTCTCTCATGAATAAATGAATAAAATCTTTAAAAAAATTTTTAAATAAAAATCATGGCATAAAAATGTACATGCATCATGATTTTCTACTACGTTAGAACTTCTGTAGGCATTAGATGGAAAGGTAAAGACTAGAAGAAAGCCTATCAAAATGACTTATGGGTAAAAACATCCCCCCAAAAATATTCAAACAAGAATAATTGTAGCTTTTCCTCATTTTTATTCTCCTTCTGGCCTGTGAAGAGGCATCTCTAGTTCTCTTCTTTGGGTCTGTTGAATGGTAGATGGGTTCTTGAGGGGGAGGGAGTGGAAGGAGAATGAGGAGGCTCTTCAATGTGGACATGGACACAGATGAAGCTGTAGGGGGCTTATGTTAATTTTAAGATGGGTATGGAGGGAAAATACCCAAGAAAAAGAGTGATCCTGAGGTGCCTGGGTGGCTCATTTGGTGAAGGGTCTGCCTTCAGCTTAGGTCATGATCCCAGGGTCCTTGGGTCAGACCCGCATCCGGCTCCCTGCTTGATGGGGAGTCTGCTTCTCCCTCTGCCTGCCCCTCCCCCTGCTGGTGTGCTCTCTCTCTCTCTCAAATAAATAAAATCTTTAAAAAAAAGAGTGATCTGAAAGGAATCAGTGAGACCAAAAGAATAGAGTGGGGAATAGAATCTGGCATACTAGAAGCAGGTGCCAGTCTGTCAGCTGGACTGGGGAGCAGATACTTTAATGAGGCAGACTTGGAGGTGAACAAAGTTTAGAGGGGAGGTTGAGGATGTCTGGCCCTAGGACATCTGGCTGTGTATATTGTGATTTTTTCTCATGAAACACTTAAGTTAGGTCTTTACTTTTCAAGATCTGGTAGTGTCAAATTTGTGTGTCT